AGACAAACAGACGGATAGACGGACAGACGGGCATTGCTAAATCGACATAGAATTTTATGCTTATCAAGAATATATATACTTTGTTGGGTCTAAAATGTATATTTCGAGGTGTTACAAACGGAATGACAAACTTATGACATACTATGGTGGAGGGTATAACAAGTAATAAAGCAGTAAGTTCGACCGGGCTGAACTTTCAATACCCTCCACCATTTAGAACGAATTTTGAAATTTTCGAAAAAGATAACATTCGGCAAAATTGCTGTTAACATCTTAAAAATACCGAATATATAGGCATTGTTTGTCACAAGCCATTACCATATTCAAATTCGAAACTTGAAATAAACGGTGAATAATGTGGCTAAAATCGTCAAAATACCGTACATAGGGAGGTACCGTTATATCGGAGCTATACGAAGACCTGGACCTGGGCCATTTTCTGTCACAGGCTGTAGCTTTCATACCAACTTCAAATACGACATTTCAAACAGTTCCTAAACGTATTAGTGATTTCATAAATGTCATATCACTCATACGATCGCAGTCAACGGGACTAGATAAGAAACTAGTTTGTTCGATCGAACTTAGATTGGCACAACTTCACAACTAAAATAATCAAAATACAGAATATCCGAAGGTTCCATTCTATGGGTGCTATAGTAATACGAGGACCTATACAGACCAGGGTTTCAAATGCTAATTTAGCAATAGTACCAAAAATTAATTTTTAATCACACTACACTCCGCAGTTATGGTCCAATCCTCACGAAATTTAGCATGAAAGTGGGGTTAGGGCAGGAAAAGAAGCCTATTCTTTTTGGAGATGATCGAAAACTATTTAGGGGTTGAAACGGATCAAGAACAGAAAAAATCTTGATTTTGCATGGAGCTTGAAATTTAGCATGGGGCTTGTATGACAATTCTTACCAATTCGGAATTGCATCTTACCAGGAAAGGATAAAATCTAAGAAAATCGCATAAAAATATGCCAATAAAAATTGAATATTTGTTGTTTTATTTTGATACATTTCTTTATTTTTTTTTTTTTTTCATATTTTTTATCGCATGAGATTTTTTCATATTTGGCTCACAATGTTGAAATTATATTTTGTAATATTTACACAATGTGTTGGAGGTTCTATATTCAGGTCGAAATTATCGTCCGATCCTCATGAAATGTTGAATGGGGGTAGGATTAGGGTCAGAAATGAAGCCTAATATTTTTAAAGATTTATATTTAGGGGTTCAAATCGACCAAAAATTAAAATTTCTCAGATAATTTGGCGTCACCCCCAAGGGTTACAATTAAAAACCAATCGACACGGAATTTAGCATGAGTTTATAGTTTGGGATAGGGCTGAATGCTAGCATTTTGAACGACCATTGGGTTATATTTAGCGGGTTAAATTGACCACAACTTTTGTGTGGAATTGTGTAGAATACCTTTTACGAAGACCCAGGGAAAATGCCCCCTTTCAAAAACCAAAGGTAACAGTTGTGCAGGACTGTATGGCATTATTTAAAAAAATCAACATAAATGGGTCTGAATCTAACGAGGTTTTCCAATGTACTATACTGTTGTTTGACATTACATGTTCGACACCGCATTATTATTGTCTTTGCTTCCACGTTTAATTGACAACACACAACCATGAACAATAGTGAGTTAAGTAGCTAATCTTTGATCTAATTAGCTGAGCTTTAATATTTGCTAGCAGTTGCACTGAAATGCTAAGACTAATTTCATTTACTGATGGTTTTTAGACCCTGATACAAACTATTTTCTGCCACCAGGGATAGAACCCATTACAAACCCTTAATACCTAATTTGGGATAATTCCGTAAAAAATCTAATATCAAAATTCCAAATATTGAGAGGTGCTGTTATATGGGGACTATACGAATGGGCACAATAGAAACTATTTCTCTTAATTTCAAAGCTCTATGTCAAATAATGTTAGCTGTATCGTGATTTCAACAGACAAACCGACGGACATCGTTTAAACGACTAAGAGTTACATGCATATCAAGAATATTTGTACTTTGTGGGGTGGGGTCCACCTTTCAAAGGCGGAGGGTATAATCAGTACGGAAATCAGTTGGGCTGGGTCGACTTTTTGATACCCTACCCCACTTTGCGTATATATTACTAGAGCTACATACAATAAGTAAACGCTTTGATAGGGAATTTATGAGAATTAAAACACACCAAATATGGTCATTTTTGAATGCCCATTATTCGTCAAAATCCATCCTATTTGAGCTGATTTTACATTTTTGGAGCACAAATTGTGTGAAGATATGTATGGGAACTACATCCAAATCTGAACCGATCTCTATAAAATTTAGCAAAAGTATTTCTGAATTTGATTATGTGCCAAATTCCATCTTGTTTGTACTAGTATTACATATTTGGTGGACAATAAAAAGCAAATCGCAAAATCAAATATATAGGAATTACATCTGTTTTTTACCGATAATCTCCAACTTCAATAGGGTTCCTTGGACCAAATTGTATTTGATCGGGCAATAAGTGCAACCTGAACTTTGTTGACAAAAATAAGTGGATATACGGACAGAAGGACATGCATAAATCGACTCAGAATGTGATTCTATGCAGATCATCCAAAGGAACTATGGGTCTAACTCGCTTCCTTTTCTGAGTGACAAACAAATGCACAAAGAAATAATACCCTGACCACATGAGTCCACAGGACTTTCGTTGCAGTACCTGCTTGGGTGTTATCGTAGGAATCATCCTAACCACCATATGGTGGACAGAACTCCCCCACCCAGGCGTGTCAGGGAGGACCTGCATGATCTAGAGGGAGAGAGGTCCAGCGATATAAGAGAGAGCCCCTAGATCATGAAGCCTATAAAGCGGGTCTGAATAGCATTCATACTAATACAGTCGCAGAGGTAGTTAATAATTACAGTATGAATGCCATCCTCGGAGTCCACCCCCTCCATTGCAGCTGAATAACGTCGGCTGCCTAGGCAAACCAGGGTAGTTTTGGCTCAACTACGTTCAGGATGGTGCAGCCGTCTCAATAAAAACAAGTAAAAAAGCAGTAAGTTCGGCCGGGCTGAACTTTGAATACCCTCCACCATTTGGAACGAATTAGAAAATTTTCAAAAAAATAAAATCCAATAAAAATTCTTTTAAAATCTTTAAAATATCTATCCGATATATGGGGGGATATACGATATTGTGGACCTATAAAGACAAATCTATGTCTGCGTGTAAAGTACTCACAGATAATTCCATTGGAAAATGTGGCTAAAATCATCAAAATACCGAATATAGGGGAGTACCGTTATATGGGGGATATACGATATTGTGGACCTATATAGACAATTCCGTTTCAGGGGTAAAGAACTCCGTGTGTGGATTTTCAGACAATACGATTGGAAAATGTGGCTAAAATCATCAAAATACCGAACATCGCGGGGTACCGTTATATGGGAGCTATACGTTATCGTTAACCTATTTAGAGAATTCTCTGTCAGGGGGTAAAGTGCTCACAAAGAACCCCTTGTGTACAAAGAACTTCTTGTGTACAAAGAACCCCTTGTGACCATTCCGTTGAAAAATATGGCTAAAAACATCAAAATACCGAATATCGGGGGTACCGTTGTATGAGGGCTATACGATATCGTGGATCTATATAGATAATTCTCTGCCGAGGTATAAAGAACCCACAAGGAACTCCTTGTGTGGATTTTCAGACAATTCCGATGAAAAATGTGGGTCAAATCATAAAATATCGAATATCGGGAGGTACCGTTATATGGGGGATACACGATATCGTGGACCTGTATAGACAATTCTCTCAATATTGGGAGGTACCGTTACATGGGGGCTATACGATATCGTGGACCTGTATGGACATTTCTCTGCCGAGGTATAAAGTACCCACAAGGAACTCCTTGTGTGGATTTTCAGACAATTCCGTTGAAAAATGTGGGTAAAATCATCAAAATACCGAATATCGGTTGTACCGTTATATGGAGGCTATATGATATTGTGGACCTGTATAGATAATTCTCTTCCGAGGTATAAAGTACCCACAAGGAACTCCTTGTGTGGATTTTCAGACAATTCCGGTGAAAAATGTGGGTTAAATCATCAAAATACCGAATATCGGGGGTACCGTTATATGGGGGCTATACGATATTCTGGACCTATGTAGATAATTCTCCACCGAGGTATAAAGTACCCACTTGGAACTCCTTGTGTGGATTTTCAGACAATTCCATTGAAAAATGTGGCAAAAATCATCAAAATACCGAATACCGTGGGGGTACCGTTACATGGGGGCTATACGATATCGTGGACCTGTATGGACATTTCTCTGCCGAGGTATAAAGTACCCACAAGGAACTGCTTGTGTTGATTTTCAGACAATTCCATTGAAAAATGTTGGTAAAATCATCAAAATACCGAATATCGGGGTTACCGTTATATGGGGGCTATACGATATTGTGGACCTATATAGATAGTTCTCTGCCGAGGTATAAAGTACCCACAAGGAACTCCTTGTGTGGATTTTCAGACAATTCCGTTGAAAAATGTGGGTAAAATCATCAAAATACCGAATATCGGGGGTACCGTTATATGGGGGCTATACGATATTGTGGACCTATATAGATAGTTCTCTACCGAGGTATAAAGTACCCACAAGGAACTCCTTGTGTGGATTTTCAGACAATTCCGATGAAAAATGTGGGTAAAATCATCAAAATACCGAATATTGGGGGGTACCGTTATATGGGGGATGTACGATATTGTGGACCTATATAAATAATTCTCTACCGAGATATAAACGGTACCACAAGGAAGTCCTTGTGTGGATTTTCAGACAATTCCGTTGAAAAATTTGGGTAAAATCATCAAAATACCGAATATCGGGGGGTACCGTTATATGGGGGATGTACGATATTGTGGACCTATATAGATAATTCTCTGTCGAGGTATATAGTACCCACAAGGAACTACTTGTATGGATTTTCAGACAATTCCATTGAAAAATGTGGCTAACATAATCAAAATACCGAATATCGGGGGTACCGTTATATGGGGGCTATACGATATCGTGGGCCGATATAGCCCATCTTCGAACTTGACCTGCCTGCAGACAAAAGAGAGATCTGTGCAAAATTTTAGCTTCCTATCTTAATTCGTTTAGACTGTATCGTGATTACAACAGACGGACAGACGGACGGGCAGGGCTAAATCGTCTTAGAATTTTACGCTGATCAAGAATATATATACTTTGTTGGGTCTAAAATGATTATTTCGATGAGTTACAAACGGAATGACGAACTTATTATACCCTCCATACCTTTTTTGGTGGAGGGTATAAACAAACAGAAAATTCGTAACAAAAGTCAGGGAATCCCCAGGCGTAACATCAGATACGACATCCAAGTACCTTAGCGGAAATGAAATTCTATCAGATTCCCAAATAAATAGAAGAGCGAACGGGAAAAAAGTTTTACTTTAAATTATGACAATGTTTCTATCGCTGAAATTTCATTTCGATTCATTATAAAAAAAAATAAATATTGAAAAAAATAGAATAAAAGCCCAAAGTTTCTTCAGCAATCAATTTATTCACTATATAACATCTTATACCCACTTTGGTTGATTTTCAAAAGTTTATTTTACAAACCCTTAGTTTTCAAATTAAATATCTCTTAATTGGCATCTGGTAAGCTACTCGTTTTTTTTTAGCAAACTAAGCAAAAGACAGAGGTATTCAGTCTAGTTTATCTTTCTTTGAATTATTCATTATTCTACAAAATTGAATTATAATTATCTTAACAATAAAATTAAATTATACTTTACTGAACAATTCAAAACACAACATTTCAAAATACTTTACATTATTTACAGCAGAGACAATCAATTATTTCTGTTCAATTTTTTTGCGATTTTTCAACTCCGTAGATCTAAGAAAATTCTTTTGAGTTTGGAACTATATATTTATGTTTTTTGGACTATATCTATGATATTCATTAAAGCTATTCTGTAAATATTCATAACTTTAGACAAAATAAACATGTCGATATCTGCTAGAGCACACATCAAAAGTGTGTGCGTGTGTGTATTTTGTAGCTACTTGTAGGTAGGTAGGTAGGTAGGAAGTGTCGTCTGGCTCCCCGTTCAGATGTAGTGTTTACAGTTCATGTCGTGTAAATCTAGGCACTCGTAGTTGTAAATATCTGCGAGACTGAACATCGTGCATGGAGAAACTCAGAATCCTGACGTCATCTGGGCATTTTTGGTTTCCATCCAATCACAACCTAAGGGCGAATTGTTGTTCGACATAATTATCGGCGAGGTTCGCTGCACTTCGCGGGCCGGATAGTAGACCACGGGTCCGGGTGATGGTGCCCGACCCCGCTTGATTTTCACAACGCCCGGTGAACTGGCACTTTTCATGATGCGACCATTGTTGAGTGTACTGTTGCCCGATGTCGTTACCAGATAGGTGGTGGTGGTACTGCGCTGAGTACCGTGACGAGAGAAGCGCCCCGAAGACCGATGGTTGTAAGTGCCATCACCATTGTTCGATATTGAACTTTCGTAGTGTATAAGATCGGGCTGGTCGCGGCTGAGGCGGCGCTTGAAAAAAATCAGCAGGAAAATCCGCTTGAACTTCTCGCCAAAAATCACGTAGATCAGGAAGTTGCAGCTGCTGTTGATGGTCACAAGCAGATTGCTCGTCTTGGTCAGTGAGTTGTCGATGAAGTTGTAGAAGGCCTCCGATATGTTCACCACCAGGGCAAGGAAATTGAAGGCGAAGAACACTACCACCACACACAGCAACATGGTCGCCAAACCGATCTCCCGTTTCTCGGAGCGTGACAGTCGTTGGCGTTCTCGATTCGCCCGTTTCACCTGCCGATAAATGAGGCAATTCAGGATGGCCAGCGTCAGGAAGGGTATTATGTAATTTACAATCAGGTAACACCAGTTTATATACAGATTGATGTACATCTGGTTGGCTCGCAGGGGCGAGGGCCGAACACAGTACAAAACGTCGGGAATATCATCGTATTTGGTGCTCGCCGTAACCACTTCCCAGAAGCGCGGCAAGTTGTAGAGCGTCGCAAAGAGCACACAGACAATGAAGTAAATCTTCGCTCTGCCATAGGTACACAAGGCGCGCGCCTTCAGCGGGTGGCACACGGCCACGTACCGCTCCAGCGTTACCGTAAACGTCATGTATATGCTGGCCGTCTGCGAAATCATGCCTATGGGAAACACCACCGGCGATATGTACGGGAAGATGTAGTTGTAGTACAGGAAGAAGTTGCCCGTGTAGGGATATATGGACGGTATGCCGAAGAGCAGCATCGACGTTATAATCAAGACGGTATCACAGCAGGCCAGGCCAATGAGCAGATAGTTGATGCTAGAACGCATTTGAGGACGGGACAATATAATCATGGAGATCACGTTGCCGATTATGCCCAGAATACCGACAATATTCAGACAGACTCCACAAACCCAGAACTCCACGAGAGTTTCATGGTCCTCGGGGTTGTAGAGCTTCTGACAGGGATATTGCTGGTGATCTGAGTTGGTATAATTGATGCCGCCATACAGGCTGTGTTGAGTGAAGTTCTCGGCGGCCGTTGCAAATATACTGCTGTTGCCACCGTAGCCCGTATCCGACACGGTGGTGTAGTGATTGAAGTGGTCGCTGCCATGGTTGACGTCACTAACGCTCTCGATAAAGTCATTCGGATCAATGGGCGCCGAATCGAACTCGCCAATGTAATCTGTTTCGGGTTTGGGCGGCGGTAACACTTGTTGCCGTTGCAGCAAAGGTAGCGGCGTTTGCGATAAGTAGGTGTCCGGTGTATGCGCCTGGAACGGATAAACGCTATCCGTTATATTGGGGTCAAACATGGGTTTAAATTTTCAACGTAACAGCCAGGAGATGGAATAGCACAAGATTCTCGTCTGCAATAGAATGCGTGACGTCTCTGGAACATGGGGTGTTTGACAGGGGGCAGGGGACAGGAACTCTTTGCGGATCTCGTTACTTAAATTAGTGTCTTTTTTCCTATCTTAAGTTAGTTGTAGTTGTAAATAATTTCGTTTGCAGTAGAGCTAACTTAAGCTATTCGCTTCCCTCCATAAGTTTCTGTATCACAATATTGTTGCCGTTGTTATTTTTCGTTCATCAGCTTATCTGCGGGTGTCGCGTTATTAATATAAGTTTGCGAGTTTTATTTACAAGCGTTTCTCTTTGGCTCCCTTTCAATGTTGTTTCAAGCTCAGCATGCAAATGTTGTTCATGTCCATGCGATTTAAGTGCAAAACTTCTGATATTAAGCACACTTTCAGTTGCTAAGACCTGGGTTAAAGTTCAACATTTACACGTGTCCAACGAGCTGCAAAATTCCAATTGGATATTTCCTCCGATGGTGGTGTTGGTGCCTCCACAATTACTGTCAGAAGAATTGAAATGGATAAATTTTCCTTATTCCTCTTAAGTCCTTAGCCCGTTATGTGCTGAGTTCTGATGCTTTTGTCTGGATCCCGACAATTGGAGTTTGCTCGACTAGTCTTCAGCTAATGGAAAGAGATAATTCAAATGGTTTACTAGGACGCTTACTGAGCTGTTTATGGCTTAAATATCACAGTCTTGTTGTCTTTCTCCCCTTCCCGACTGCAATGCAATTCAGATAATTTAAAAACTCTATTGTTTGGTTCTAATGAAATTGAGCCGCATGAATATGCAAAGGAGTTGTTGGCATCTCTTGATATCCTCAAATTGGAGACAAGTTGAACTTTAACATCTATTGCAAAAGTTGTGTGCTAAAATGCCAACATATTTTATCCCAATCTGTCATCTGCTCTATAGAGTGTCCTGCTACTAGGATTAACACTGCGTTAGCGATGTATGAGGGTGTGTGCGTGGGTGTTTGGGCAACTGCCAGTGAATTAGAATTTGTCAAAGAGCAAATTCATGTAGGTCTCGGTCGTTATATTTATCTGCAATTGTATTTGTCTCCGTTGCCTTAGTCATTGCCTTGGCACAGTCGTCTCAGTTTTCCGGCAATGTGCAGTCCTTTCTTCGTATCCTTGCAACAAATGCCAACCAACACCAACGCATACAAAACAAAATGCAAACACACGCACAAACACATGTATATTCAGAGTCAGACGTTATGCTTATTTAGAAGTCCTCTTTGCATTCCTTCGTTCAATTGTGTGGCTTGTCTGTTTATTTGCTCTCTGCCGTTCGCATAAAAATCCTGAAAGACATTAAAACAAGTCTCGTTCAGTATGGCCGACCTTCACAGCAATAATTGTAGAGATGATGGTGTCATTCAGGATACCTACTTTGGGGAGAGTGTTAATACAAAAGGGGTGGCGGCAAATTTTCTGGGCGAATTACAATTTCCAATTGTGAACTTTTCTGTTCGAACCTGAAAAGTATAAAAAGAAGAAGAGGAACACAGATTAGAATTTATGCCATACAGTGCTTAAAAACTTAAACAAAGAATTATGGTATCTGCTGTAACACCTACACGTTTTTATTTGTTATGTTAGATAAGTAAACAAAAGGTCATACCTAGGCTGAATAGAAACGAAAATGGTCGTATCAATATTTATGTCTCTGTTGTCCTTTTAACTTTTAAAACCGTATTTTGTTGGAATTTTTCATTGTATAATATACGTTTTTACAGTAGACACATTAGGTTCTATCTTCCACAAGTAGCTTGAACTCTATTCTGATTGTTTCACTTGGAGTCAAAAGACCCATATGTTTGTTTATAATGCTCGGATAAATAGACGGCGCACCATGTCGCGAGTTCATATAAAAGGTGACCAAAATATAAGGAGAGTTGTTGGCTAATTATGTCGAGGACCAAATGCCAGGTTTCCGTATAACGCTCACATAACGGTACCTCCCAACATTTGGTATTTGGACGATTTAAGCCACATTTTCTAACAGATTTTTTTTCATATTTGGTATTTAGAAATGGTAATACATTCTACAGAACATTTTCCACAGCGAACGAAAACAAACGAAACGATTAACGTACCCCTCTCACGAAGACACAAACTTTTAAAAATTTTTCAATCGTTTTGTACTCCAAACAAAACCACAAATATTTCAATGCCAGAAGTACAAAGACAATACGATTGCCTTAATGTACTTCGGCTATAAGTTGCCAAGCTGTATCGTTAGCGAACGAATCGCCGGGAAACGTTTGCTGTGCGAAATGATGACTGGTACATTATGAGTTGTTATTCTTAATATTATTTTTACACTTTTTATACTATCCACCTTGAAAAGGAGGGTATATTAACTTTGTCATTCCGTTTGTAACATCCCTAAATATTCGTCATAGACCCCATATATATTCATGATAAGCATAAAATTCTAAGTCGATTTAACGATGTCCGTCTGTCTGTCCGTCTGTCTGTTGAAATCACGATTCAACCAACATTATTTGACATAGAGCTTCAAAATTTGGCATTACGATTTGTATCGTGTCTAGGATGGTTGGTATTGAAAATGAGATATATCGGTCCGCGTTTTCGTATAGCGCCCATATAACGGTTCCTTCCGACATTCGGTATTTTCATAATTTTTGGCATATATTTGTACGAATATTTCTTAAAATTGTATATTTGTAAAACATAATAGGTTCTAACTTGTGTGGCGGAACAATGTATGTATGTATGTAGCCCCCATATAACGGTACCTCCCGATATTCGGTATTTTGATGATTTTTGCCACATTTTTCAACGGATTTGTGTGAAAATTCGTATTTGTTGGTCATAATGGATCCTAGCTCCGGTGGCAGTACATTGTATGTATATGTCCACGTTTTCGTATAGCCCCCACATAACGTAACCTCCCGATATTGGATATTTTGATGATTTTTGCCACATTTTCCACGGATCAGTCTAAAAATTGGTATTTGTTGGTCATAATGGATTCTAGCTCCAGTGGCGAAACATTGCATATATAGGTCCACGATATGGTATAGCCCCCATATAACGATATTCGGCATTTTGATGGATTTTGCCACATTTCTTCGCGGATTTTTCTAAAAATTGGTATTTGTGGGTCCTAACGGGTTCTAGCTCCTTTGGTGTTCTAGCTCCTTTGTACAGGTCCACGTTTTTGTGTAGCCCCACATAGCTGTATTTTTCGATATTCGGTGTTTTGATGATCTTTGGCACATTTTCCCATGAATATGTCTAAAAATTGGTGTTTGTGGGTTATAATGGGCTCTAATGTTTCATTTTCCCTAAGGTGGAGGGTATTAAAAGTTTGGCCCGGCCGAACTTAATGTTTTTTTTACTTGTTTACATTGATGGTCAAATAAATGAATAAAAAGGAATAATTTTAACTTTAAATTAGTTTGTACATTATTTGTGTTGAGTTAATATACAGGGAAACGTTTGCAATGAGTATTGCACTGTTTTCTTTCAAATGTTGCGTCATTCAGCAGGGTACATCTCAGCTCTGTTTTTGTTTCCACTCATCTACACGAACAGTACAAAATAAGAAACTAGTCCCGTTATCTTAATGTCGGTTTTGTTTCGTTTCGTTCTTGGAGAAAGTACAAAACAAAACGATTGCAAACGTTTCCAATAGTAGATCCACGTTTTGCTATAGTCGTAATATGACGGTACTTCCAGGTATACATTTTCCAACGGCAGTGCTTTAAATTTGATAGTTGTTTGATACAAATCACAGCAGCAAACAATTGACTACATAGGTTCACGCTTTCTTATAGCCCCCGTATAGCGGTACCACACGATTTTCGGTATTCTTATGATTTTTATTTTAACAACTTTTTCTAACGGATTTGTTCAAATTCTTTATTTATATTCTGTGGTGGGATTTAATTATGGTGACAAAATATTGTCTATATAGGTCCACACTTTTCTATATCCCCCATATAACGGTACTTCCCGATTTTGGGGATTTTCACTATTTTTGCCAAATTTTCAATATAAGTGTTTCACATTTGTTACTTGAAACTCACAGTACATACCAGTCCCTATAGCAGGAAATAGTCTCTATGTAGGTTCAAGGTTTTGCCCCCATTAAAATATGTGAAGTTTTTAAAAATTTTTGGGAATTCGCTGGATTTTGATTTTTCGGCAAAGCGTAACTTAACGTATTTTTACTTTTTACATTATCGACCAAATAAAAACAAAATGTTGTTATGACTCACGCGAAAGTCAATGAAACATGCTCACCCATTCATCGGAGTTTGGTTTTGGCTGAAATTTTCATATTGGACACATTGGACGTCCGACAGCTTTTATAATTATTTCAATGACAGCGTACAAAAGCATTTTAGTGAGAATTTTCCAGAAAAAAGTAATTCGTGATGGAATTCAAGCGTGATAGTGTGATTTCTTTCTATTTGGCTGGAAAACCACAAGTGGCTATCGTTAGAGCACTCCAGCATTTAAATGTGAATAAATCTTTTGTGTCTCGTACCATCGCTCGTTACCGTGATACTGGTAGCGCAGCCCGACGTCAAGAAGGTGGACGATAGAAAACAGCAACATCAGCAGAAATGGTTCGAAAAGTAAAGAAGCGACTTGATCGAAACCCGCGTCGCAGTGGCCAAAAAATGGATCGTGAGCTGAACATATCGCAATATTCCATTCGGCTAATATTGAAAAATGAGCTCGGGGTAAAGCCATTGAAATTCCAAATAGTGTTATTAGAATTTTGGGATAAAAAAACTTATTGTGAAAATTTCGTGATTTTGTCCTTAATGAATATACATTTGGGCCTGACATGCGTCGATGCATCTCGAGTTTCGTCGCCCTTTATAAGCTACACCACATAGTGCTAGAGGTATTATGTATTTGTGTATTTGTTTGTAACATGAAGAAGGAAGTGATATAGACACATCTTCTTCATAGAAAAACTTTCTGATTTGATTTTTGCATGTCCATCGCATTTATTAACCGACTGAGCAAGGACGTTATTTAAAATAAAGCTCAATCTATTTACTCCGACCTTAAGAAAGATAATTCTTCTGCCTTCTCGAAAATGTTTTTTTTTTTTTTTGTTTTGTTTTAATTTGATTTGTATGAAAAAGATGACTCAAGTTGAGTCGCTTTTTCCGCCCATTAACGACCCAAGTCGGAGCACTAGTATATTATGAGAAATGTGTAAACTAAAAATAATCTAGCCTCAGCGAATCATGGGTAAAACTGCAAAACATACATACTGATGTAGAGTATCATATAGTCGACATTGCTCAATGTAACGTGAAAGGTATCACGTACATATCATTGATAAGTGCCAGATACATACCGTAATAGGCACAGTCCTATTTTTCATTTCACTAATTTACTTATTGTGGTCAACTAATAAAATTCTCATTCACCTCGTGTCATCTGAGCCTTTAATACTTTGGTATTTGCTACAGGGTCAGGCTATTGAGAGGAGCCTGTAACCATATTTTGGTTGTCGTTTACATCGGGTGTTATTAACGACTCTTGTAAAGGCTTCCCATAGTGGAAGCCATATCAACATATAGCACAGAGACTTCGGATTCCTGTACCACACGGAGTCCTCGGCTTTCCGTTGCACTCAGAGGCCCATAGAAATAGTATTAGTAACCTCATCACGTCGTCATTCCCGATCATCAACCGAATTCCTGAACATCATCGCCTCGTCGTTCCCGATCATCAACCGAATTCCCGAACATCATCGCATCATCGTTCCCGAACATCACCGGATCGTCGACTTTCGACCTTCAACCGAACATCACCGTATTGTTGTTTCCCAATAATCATCCGAATTCTCGAAACTCATCGTATCATTCATTCCCTGAACGCAGAACCCGAACATCGCAGAACCCGTCATTACCGCCTTTCGCCCCCGGTCGATAACCCTTTGCATTTCATTTTAAGTACAATTTACTTATATTTATGTCAATAAACACTCATTTTTGGCCACAGAGGGAAAAAATAATTGTTTTATTCCGTAAAGTTTAGTGGGTCTTTATGGCGACCCTGGACACGACTGAGCGCATCCAAGCTGACGACAAAAACACGTTACGACGACTTTTGTCCATTCTTAATTGTTTGTACATACCCAAAGCTAAATATCTTTCATTCTCAACCGCTATCTCAATAACAATCTCTCTTACCACATGACGCCGCAAGCAAACCTAATTTGATTGGATTTTAATGTAGATGTGATAGTTGAATGAAAATTGCCATCCTGAATGAAAATCGTAAATATCTAGAATTCAGATTACTAATAACCCTGAAACACAATTTTGAATTTTACAAACAAAGAAAAACAAGTTTTGCTCAAATGACGTGTTATATCTCAAAAAAGCTATGATATTTATACGAAACATCAATTCATCATGCTATTCTCATGATGTGAAAAACAAAAGCGACATTTTTCATATCAACAGAATTA